TCTCTCTACCAGTTGATAAAAGACATAGGGGGGACACAGTCAAAGCACTGAGGTACTGGGATAAACACTGTAATGAGCTACTCTGGAAAACAAAATTTACCAACAGAAACACTTCAAAGGCTGTATACAGAAACAGAAATTTCTAAATCACTGAACACCTCTAACATAGCCCAAAATTTCATGTTTTCTCTACTGAAGAGCCGAGCACCTCAGAGGTTCTGTTGAGCTGAATGCTCCTTTTCTGCTGCAGTGCAGGTCTGTTTTGGACCACAGCACCAAGAACAGCAGTGATAAAGTACTGCACAAAGAACAGATCAGCACTACTGTCTCATTCACTGCATCCTCATGTTAGGATTTTGCATCATCTTTCTGATTCAGACTATGACTGGCAGCTAAAACTAAATTACAACTCACTTTTGTAAATAGTAGCTTGCTTGCTACATGAAATAGTTGTGCCCTCCAAAACCCTTGCACTTTATCTTGGGCTTGGACCTCATTATCACCCTTATTCAAAATCCAAGATCTGCAGAGGTGCACAAAACTTTTCAGAAAATGGACTGTTTTTAATTATGCCACCAGATAAAGACAAGAAAAGCAGAAAACAAGAGAAATGTGATAACTTGATATTTTAGATAAAGCACCTTTAAGTTTTGTGGAAAGTACAAGTAAAATACCTCAAAAAAATCAAAGTAATATCTGAAAGATTAATCTGAAAAGCAAAATAATAGCACCTATTTGGTACAATTACAGAAGACAGACTGAAGGAACAGACATCTTTTTTTCCCAGGATGGGTGAATACATTCACCAGCAGAGTCTTGTAACCAGTTTAAAAATGAGAGCTCACAACTCCTCTCTGTGTTAATTTCTGCATCTCTGTAAATCTCCGTTCAATTTTAGTTTCCCTTCCTTTCTCCTTATGGTTTTATTTTTTCTGATATTCCCACTGTTTAATGCACTTTCTAGCTGAGACCATACAAACCTAAGGCTGTGAACAGGTGATCATAAATTATTAAATTACAACAGCATGACTGTTTATACCCAATGTCAAGTGAGTCGCATTAACTGCGAACTCAGGAACTTTATAGTTTTGATGTAAACCATTGTATTTGAAAACACCTGTTTCAAATGTTTAATATTAAAACTCAAGAGCTGCAATTTAAAACAAATACAACAAATAATTTAAAAGTTGGTGTACATCTCTCCCCCTTGTTTCTCAACTCCAGTAAAAACAGCTCTTCATCAAGACAGAGGCTGATTGTCTATCTGCATATTCACACAATAAAATACACTCTGTAGTGCAACTGTCATTTTTTTATAATTTATTGTGATTGATACCTATTAACTGGAACTTATAGGAAAGTTTAGGAAGGAAAGTTTTTCCTTATCCATGTATTACTTTCTGCATGTTGTCAGTTTTTCTGCTATTCTTCATCACTTTTATTGGACTCGATGGAAAAAAGCAGAAGAGAGAAACTATTTTTTGAAAAACAGAACACTTGATTGGAAAAAAAGAAGAAACTAAGAGTAACATTTAAAGCAATGTTAATATTTAAAAATCATCTCATCTTTCTGGGTCATTATGCTCCTTAAAGAAATGCTGGCATATTCTTTTCATGCAAACTGAGTTCAATACAGCCACAGCGTCTCCAGTAAATTCAGGACAACACGTTTTGTATTTTGTTTGAGGGTTTCAAGTAGAGCAGAAAGGTTTTTCTTGCCTGATTATCCTTTCACTACTTACAGGTGTACATTAGGGACAGTCTTCTAACCTGCAGTCCTTTCTTTCTTACTTAGTACAGGGATCAGCCTTGTCACCTAAATGTCTGACAAAACCAGCTCAAACTGTCCACAAAATTCCTTAAACAACACCAACAGACAGGAACTGACTGCCCTGAGACTTTGATATGAAAAGGCAAAGACCTATCAACTTGCATAAAGTAAGACTTTTATTCCAGTATTAAAACCACAGGAATGTCAGCTTACGTAAGATCTAACAAGTTAAAGACAGACCACAACTTTCTTTCTTTTTTCTTTTCCTTCTCATTTCTTTCTTTTCTTGTCAGAGAGGTAGTGTGATTCCATCTGAGAGTTTCCAGGCACACAATGAGGGTTATGACCCACCTATTCCTGATTACCTATTAATATCAGCTTTATGAAGATAAATATTCCCTCAGATGAAACAAAAAGCTCCCCTAGGTAACAACCAGGTAAAATTTGTGCTTGAACCCTGTACATCTTGTAGCCTTAAAGAAGAAAAGGTAGAGGAAAACCTTGTGTGCTCTTTGGGGTGCACAGAACGAAACCATTCAATCACAAGACTCCTTTCTTGCCTTCTCCTTCATCCCTAGTCTGAAGTCTCTCTTGCTCTTCCATGCAAGGAAATGGAGACTTACTGGTGAATGCCCAGAGTAACCAGGAACTGCTGAATGTAGACAATTGTGTTGTCCAACAAGGATGTGGAGAGAAGCAGCTTGTAACAACCAGCCAGTCTTGTCCAAGCACAGGCACGTGCCAGAGCCCTGCGATTCGAACAACTGCAGCTTGCCTAGACCAGCTGCAGATCTAGAATATCAAATCCACACAGAATACCTGCAGGTCCATGCAGGCTGGTATCTTCCCCGACATTCTCTGGGAAATCTATGCAGAAGGTAACACATGGAGTCTGCAACAAAAGGCAGACTTCCAGGGAAGGGAATCTTACTCTCTGCCATTAGCAGTGCCTGCTGGTATCCTCACCTGCACTCTGCAAAGCAGCACTGAGGTAACAGCCTCGGTCACAAAGATGGCTGCGGGCAGAAACTACAGAGAATTTTGTCATTTTCTGCCACTTCCTGTGCTGCTCTCCCCAAATCCCCCTCTTTGCACCTAAGGGAGACGTGGCTGCCAATCCCTGTAACAAACTGATCTGACCCACCCCACCTCCTCCTCACTCGGATTGAAGCCAGTCACAGTGAACATGGGAACCATGAACCATGGGAAAGAAATGACACCACATCCATGAAACCAGACATATTCCCAACCAAGCCAGGAGGCGGCACAGGGATAGTATTTTACTTTGCTGCTAGGCTTCTGAAGCCCAGCTCTGCTCCTAACTTTCTCAGGGCACCAGTTGTCATGGATGCTTCTGAAAGGAAGAAGCAACCATTCCCACAAGGCAGCTGAACACACTCAGCCAAAATGCATTGGTATGTCCAAACTTAAGCTCTGAACTTTCTTCAGAGAATGTGCTCTACAGCTCGGAGGTGTGAAGGGCACCTGCCTATTTCCATTCAGACTGACAAAGCCACAAAAGAAGTCTGAGTGAAGGGAGTGATCTCTGCTGAGGAAAAGAATGACAAGCCTATTTCCATGTTTAAGACTGCAAAACTACTCAAATGGTTATAGTGAGAGACCTGTGCCCTTTGGCACAGCGAAGAATTGAGTTTCAGATCATAAAAATCTATAAAAATGCATATTTGAACTAAACTGGTACTGACTCAGCACCAAAATAGCCTGAGGGTTACACCTGCATACTCAAATTAATTTTCAAGTGCCTCTTTTGCTATGCAGGGTATTTTATGTTACAGTTGTAGTGTACTTATATAACATATTTGAAATGTATTTCCCCTTGTTTGGAGTAACAGCTTTTTGGAGAAGTCTCATAAAGTCCAATTTGGAAAGAAATTAAAGGTAAGAGCCTTCCCCACATCTTGCTTCCTGAGTGTCACCCAGAATACCTGCTGAGCTCTGAACAAGGAGGTCTCTGCTGATTACAGAGCACAGGTTAAAATGTACTGAGCTGTTAATAAATGGAGGCTTATATTAAGCCTTTAAAAGCCTTCAGCAGTGAGCATTCTATATGGCTTACTGGGGAGTACTCTCCCTGGACCTTGTACTGACAGTGGAGTAGGTCTGTGCTCAGTGTGGCACCCAGGGGAACAGCAGGCACAGAACCAGGGAGGGCAGGCCCCAGTGCTCAGCCCATTTCTGTCCCAAAGGATGTTAAATATAGTGTTATCATTCCTGACAAAAGCATCTTCCTGAAGATATCCAGCAACTGTACCTCTATCCCCCTCCTTCCCACACACACCAGAAGTCTACCCCAGCTCTCACTACTGTCTGCTGCAATTCAAGCTTTTTACTGCTTGTGCTAAACATCATGGAGATCAGAAACAGGCTGCTCCCTTCCTCACTGAAGTCTCTTGGAAGCTCCCCTCAAAGTCTCTCTGTCACGTGAAACACAGTTATTGCAATCAGTACTCCACAGCAGGTTTTCGGAGCCTCTAATCATTCTTACTGCTTTCCTCTGGGTTCTCTCCAGTTGACCCAAATCTTTCATAAAGAATTTAGTACAGCAGTCCACCTACAGCCACTTCAAGCCTGAACCAGGATGACTTCTAATATCCTGCAGGACAACAGTGCTACATAATCTGACATTGGACTATGTTTGGGTAGATGCTATGAACTGATTAAGACCTTTTATTGCAATAAACCTGGAACCACTATTCTATGAAAACAGGAGCAGCATGTATATGCTGTGTACATTATCAAAGCAACATTCCCACATTAGCAAACTATATAATTCAAATTACTGGGTAACAAGTACACTCTCTGTCCTGGAATCAGCAGTACCAGACATTATCTCTCAGTCAGGAGATGTACAGTTATGTACAAGAGCCACAGCAGCCAACTCTCATTATCCTGAAATACCTTTCTCAAGGAGCTTTCACCAGGCCATTCTGCTTGTTTGACAGGCCAGGTATTCCATCTGGCTTTTCCTGAGATAAAGCTTCCAGACTGTGGTCAAACAGTAGCTATGAACCACTTAAAATGATAAACAGCTCTAAAGCAGCCTAGATTAGTGAGATTAAAAAAGGTCTCTTCCCTCCTGTGAAAACACTTTTACATAGAGTTTAAGGACAATTGTCTGCACTTCTCCAGCTTAAGGTTTCCTGCTTTACAGGCCATGAAATTCCTGTAACCTAAAACTACATGACAAAAATCTGCCCCTTGTACTTACCCTTCTCTTTGGTACTCCTCATCCAAATTTGGCAAAAGCTGGGACCCAGCCACAGACAGATCAAGTGCAGCCAAAGGTAGATCTCGATAAGCAAAATTAACAAGCTGCACAGGAGCAATGCTTTTGGTCTCTTCTTCCACTTGCTGGGAAATGATCTCAACTTCTGAAACACTGCCTTCAATTGTAGGCCTGAAAATTTAATAAACACATGTATACACATAAAGAATTATAAATTAGCAAGCAAGTAAAAGGAAGTTAGAGACAAGAACTTCATGGAATCCTAGAGCAAACATTAAAGGCCTCTGCAAGGTCATTGAGGAGGTGCTTTCATTAAAGAGGCAGATCAAAACTCTCCAAACTTTAGTAGATCTCACTGTAATCAACAGAAACTTCACAAAGGAGAACAACATTTCACTCTGCTGAATCTGCTTCAAAAGCACAAAATATAAATGTCTGTGTTAAACAGAGAAAAAATGCATGAGTCCAAAAGGTAAATATTTATGCAAAACAGAAAGAGGGCATGTAACTATGCCAACTAAAGATTCGCTGCATTGTAAGTTAGATCGGAGAGCAATGAACAGCTAGCGTTTTTAATTATTATATACAAATCAACTGTTAAATACTAGGTGCAGTTAGACCCCTCTTCCACTGCATATATGAATACTGATTCAAATAGTTTTGACGGATGGCAGCTTTGTTACATTTACCTAAAAAGGATCATTCTGTTACAAGGTATTTCAAAACAGTTCTGAAATGGAAGAGTGATTCAGAAGAATGATGGCCTCCTCCTCCTCCTAACTAACCTTATGTACAGCTTTTAAATCTGATCAGCAGATCAGATTTATTCTTTTAGCAGCCCACTAACACTAATGGAAACTCCACGCAGCTGAAAACAGTCTGACAATGTGTATGTCTCCCACATTTAGAACAAGATACTACTTCTGTAGGAATTTTATCTGTTACCATTAGTGCATGCACTGGATGACTTGACTGTAGGACACAGCTTGCATGTCAAGGGTTGATCTTTGCAGCACCCAGCAAAGCTGCTTGCCCTGTTTAATTCCAAGGATGTGCCAGCACAAACTTCTCCAGCTTTCTTCCAGGGGAGCCTGGTAACTCTGGAAGAAATCTCAGCTACTGTCAGAGATTTACAGCAGGTGTGAAGATACTCTTTTTCCACAGGGGTATAGTTAAAAAGTTCTTAGCACCCTGTGTTATTTGACTGCAAAAATAGCATTTTATTTTAAAAAAGCTTATTAAAATCTTCCAGCAATTTAAGCAATCTGGTTAGCAGTTCCTTTTTTTTTCCCCGAAAATAAGAGGCTACTTTAGAAGACCACTTCACTGGTATATCTTGCATAAGGATATCATTTAAAGATGTGGGTGAAGGAAGTAAAATTCTATGTTGAAAGTTTCTGTTGGTCTGAGTCTCACCATTAGAGTAATTCTTTCAGATGGAAAACATTATTCTTTAATTAAAAGGAGCTAACTACTGCCAGAATTACCAAGAAAGTAAAATGCTGTTATGTGTAGAGTATTTGGCAGGGAAAGGCTGCAGCTGTGTCATACTGTGGCAGAAAAAGAAGGTAAAAGGAAGTACTGTCTGTACAACCTAAAAACTTTTACTTTATTCATGTGTAACTAATAATGGAGAGTAATGAGATTCCTTAATTTCCAACAGAACTGTATTCTTCTGTAAACAATCTGAAATCAGAAACCCAGAGGTAAAAGCTAATTTTAGCAAGAATTTTCTTTGACTTTCAAATTTAATGCCATCCTGTGGACATGTACCTTTGTAAGTCCAAGCTGGCTCAGTTTTGCATGAAAGAACATACAATGATCCAATTCCAGTAGTATAAAAGAAACAGGAAATGAGTTGGTGCAACCTTCCCTCCCCCAACAGTACTGAATTTCTGTATTCCGACATAGACTAGATGACAGAAAAAGTCTGATGTGATTGAAAAGAAAACCAAACAGACTGGTGTTGGCAGACAGAACTGATGGCAGGAAAAAGAAAGATAAAGAGATCTGAAAATAACATACTAGTTTTCAGCCACTGCTGTTAGTAATGCACATCAGACATGCTGACAGCATCATTCATGTAGTTTCTGCTAATTCACACACTTTATACAAACACAAAACCTCCAGGATGTCACATCATTCTTCTCCAGGCAGCAGCATGTTCCCTTTCATTTAAACTAATTTGTATCACACGGTACTTACTGAGGATTGGTCATGTTGGAAGATGCAACCAAATCAGCAGTGGTTCCAATATCTAACTACTTCCAGCTGCTCTGCATTAAAGTTCTAGCCTTGCAAGATTAGGTCTCTGTGAGAAGCAAAACAAGGTTATCTAAAACACAGCTGAAAGAAATCCAAAGGGCTACAGTGACTTCTGTTGTCATGTGCAAATGTGACTAATAGGTTAGTTCCCCTCTAGGATTCTTTTTCAAAGTGTTTTTATTCCAGGTTAATTCCTCCATATTATGGAAGCTGTAAAGTTACAGTGCATTTATGTTTACACACAGGCATATACAGAACTCTGTAAGAACACAGGTCTTATTTTAAACAACTAGACTGTTGAGAAAACAACGAAGATCAGAGGGAGGGGAAGGGTATTTGAGAGAAAGCTCACGGCTTCAGGAGCGTAAATTCTATTGGAAGACAATTATTTACACTTTCTAGACATAAGCATTAACACTGGCAATGAAGTTTGGGGGTTTGTTCTTCATTTTCCAGTTTGAACTGTTCCTGACTCCCTTTGCAATCTTAGAAAGTCTCTTCCAAAAATGAAATAATGTCATCAAACATTCTAGACGGGCTGTTATCAGGATAGTGTTTTGATCAACAAAACCCGTAACACATTTGGAAAAGGCAAAATCTCCACTTGTCCTGTACCTGGAGCAATGCATGGCCAGCAGAGCAAAAGAGGACAAGCCTGTGAGAATGAAACCTACTGATACACAGGTTTTGGAAGCAGAAAAAATGAGGAATACCACACAACAAAAGTTCTTAAAAATGACAGATCTTGTGAATCTATTGTGAAGATTTGATGCTACAAAATTTTTAAAAGGAACATAAAAACAGACTCTTATTTTGAGAAACAATAATAAACATTGGCAAATTAGAATTACTTACAATAACTAGTGATCATGAAAAATGCTCTTATACTAAACTTTACCCTAGAGTCATTTACAGGCTGAATTGTTAGTCAAGTATTTACAGTGGAGACATACAAATGTAGCTACATTAAGATCCTTAACAATCACTTCATACAAAAAAGTAAAATTGAACTTACATTTTTTGTAGAGCCATTTCCAAGGCTTTATTTCATGTTTTGTAATTTTACAAAAATGCAAAATGTAGCCAATGTATTTTCACATTTTCCAGGTAATGCACCTGGATACACAAGAAAAAAAAGTTCTACACTGTGATCACTCTCCTCAGGTAGGTAAGTCAGACAAAAGCAATTTAATTGAATACGAAAAGGACAAAAAACCAAAACCAAATTATTTTAAAACAAAAGATCACACATACTTTAGAAAGTATTTTGTTTCTTTAAAACAAAAGATTACACATACTTTAGAAAGTATTTTGTTTCTTTAAAACAAAAGATTACACATACTTTAGAAAGACACACACCCTCCATTTATTTACAATCTTGTAATACTTGTAAAAACAGAGCAAGAAGGGAATGTTTTTCAGATAAAGCTTTGCTAATACAGCAGAAACTTGATTTCATATCCATTTAAGTATCAATGGGAGTCAATTCCCTGGCCTTTGTATGCCTTAAATTATTTCATCTACTGTACCCCTAAGGCACCAAAATACTAAAACATTTGCCTAAATTTTTGAGTATTTCAATCACACAGAGCTTTCTGATGGGAATTGTTGCACGTACCAGCACAACAAAACTAAAATATAAGACTCAGACTTGGTTTGCAATGTTAGCTCCCCTAACATCGCATTTTCAGTTGACATTTTTACAACACAAAACAACCCCAAACAATTTTGAATGAAAAATTTTACCCAACTCGGTTGTTCTAAGCACTCAGCATGAGAACATGGTCAAGGCACGAGGTACTGTGCACCTGTCTTCTGAGAGTGAGAAAACTGAGAATCTAACTGCCCTAACTGCATTTGCAGGCATGGAGAGTGAAAAGTACCTGGAGATGCAGCTGATTTAGGAAATGGAAATAAGACTGATGGAAACTGGCCTTAGAGGACAGACATGCAAATGTGCATGTGGAAGTTTCTTAACCTAGTAAAACCTCACCATTTATTTGGGAGACAGCACAGTGCTGGTAACCCCAATCCCACTTCCAAAGGGGACTTAGAAAAGAAAGCAGTGACAAAAGCTGTACATCTAGATTTTAAGAAATCTTTTTAGATTAATCCTAAGATTCTAGGGAATGGGCCAGGACACAAACATTAAATATTTGTCCCTCCCTTCTTTCACTTTCCCAAAGCTGGAAGTGCATTTGCAATTAACCAGAATTGTGTTTTACAGCTCAGCCGGGCTCTGAACTGGATGTGACCAGTGGCAGCAGCACCAGGCCAGGCCAGCTCGCTCCTGCTGGAGCTGGCAGCTCTGCAGGTAAAGTTTGCTCACCCCAGGCTTGGAGGAGCCGCTGGCAGCAGGGCAGCAGCTCCTCTGCAGGGAGCAGAGTCCAGCTCGCAGCCGCGGGGATCGCTACCATGACACAAGGAGCTCACTGCGCTGAGACGAGAGACGGGGACTCGGCTCTCCACAGGACTCACTGCAACCTTCCTGGAACAGAAAGTGGCAAAACGTGAGTAATCTCTGCGACAAATTACTAATGGATTAGGTGATCTAACAAACTGAAGAGACAAGTCAGTAAGTGCAGTAAGAAGACAAAAAAAATGTAATAGGTTGTGTATATGTATGTATGTATGTATATATCTCCAAAATGGATTACTGTGATTCACGCTTCTTTCCAGGCTTTATGCAAGCAACAGAAAGAAACATCTTAACATATACTGGTATTCTCCAAAAATGTATTTTTTTTTACCATCCACTCCACCTCATCTATTTGTTTTTACTTCCTTTAAAAAAAATCACATTTCAGAGCAACATAACTTGAAAATTCCACAAGAAATTTCTGTGCAACTGAGTGGTGTTTAAAGGCATCAGGGATAAGCAGGGAAATCTTATTCTTTTAAACTTATCTTCTGCTTGCATTCCTATAGGATTTTCCTGTAGGTGAAGTGGAATGACATTGTTCTTCTCCCTGCCAACAAAGACAGCCAACTTTTGGATATTCCATCTATTGTCTGAAAATTTTTCCATACAGTCCTTTCCCCACTTAACACACTCAGTGTTCAGTAGACAAAAATGCTTCATCTCTCATAGTCTTACCTGATGGAATTATGAACAGGTACAGAGTTTTTTGCTTTATTCCCCTTTTTTCTTTGTAGAATTGAGTGTAGGCAGCACACACCACTTGCTGAGCTGCCACGTGAGCATGGGCAATGAATGCCTGACCCCTGAGAGCTCAGCAATTCTGTTTGTTCCGTGGTGTGAGATGGCTGCAGCAGGAGCAGAGTTTCCAAAGTTTAAGAGAAAGAGTTTGGAAGGGAGTTAAGACAGAAAGGAAAGAACTGTCCCACTAGTTTCTAGTGCAAGCTTTCAAGCAGTGTAACAACCAGAAACACTCACTGCACTGAATGAACGACATCTTTTATGTACCAAGAAGACAGTGCAATCTGATGGGAAGCATGTAAATTTGCAGCTGGTAGTCCAGCTTAAAACGTGTGAATGGTCAGTTCTTGTACAGGAGGTAGAACACAGGCAGAATTCCACGCTATTCTGTATATTCTTAAATGTCCTGAAGAAGGGAGATAATCAGCAAGGTGACAAGGCTTTGCTGGCTATAGGAGGTTATGCAAGGCAGTGAAGGAAGTTGCACCCTAACCACTGAGCTCTTTCTGAGGCAAGATCTTCAAAATGCTTCAAAGTGCTGTCCTTGCCTTTCAAGCCCTTCAGCTTTGCTCTGTTCTGTGCACCCTCACTACACAGGCCAGTGCTCCCAAGGCTTCTGCAAGGTGCCCTTGGGCTGACCGTGATTTTCCCCCTCTCCTGTGCAGGGGCACTAGCAAGCACCTGCTCACAGCTCCTTCCTGTGCAGGTGCTGGGGTCATGCCCTGCACCTGAGCAAAGGTTCCTGCTGCTGGCCTTGCCCAGCACATATCCTGCCCCAGTTAATTCGTTAATGTTTACATCAATCTTCTATTGTCAGTCACCACACCTTGGCTGGAGCTTGCTAATAAGAGATAAAATCCTGCTGAAACAACAAAAAGCACAGAACAGAGTTTGGAAAGTGTATGCTAAAGCATAGCACATGGTGTACATACACTAAGCTAAAACAAAAAACAAAGCAGAACTCCAACAGCAAACTTTAAAAAAAAATCTATACTCCACTGGTGCATGAAAACCATGGCTTTTAGCATTGATTGAAGCAGAGTCTTGCAAAATATGTGTCACAGCGTAGTGAGCCCATTTGGGGGTGGGGAGTAGGAATATTATTTAATTTAAACCTTTTGCACCAAAGTCCCTACTAACTTGTACCCTATTCAGACATGATTCAGAGCTGTTTGCTGCACTTGCTCATGTTCTGAGGCGTATTATCATGAATCTGTAAACTCCTGTACAAAATTCAGATGTAAACTGAAGTATCCAAGTTTGTGCCCTTACAAGGTAGCTACAAAACCAATTTTTGACACGTTCTTGTAATAAGTCCCCCAATAGCAGTTTAAGACAGTTGGACAGGCTCAGAGTTTGTATTCAAAAGAAATGCCACAGACCCCATTCAAGGAGACACTGCTGTTGCTGCAAGGTGGGGTTTTGAGTTCTCACCAGCTCCATCTCCTTCTTCTGCCCACCACCCATGCATTTAAAAAAACAAAACAAAAAGAAAAGAAAAAAGAAAAAAAAAAAGCAGCAGGATGGCTTCCCTGATACAGGTCATAGTACAGCTCCAAAAATAGCTGTGCCAGCAAAACAGAGTGCAGGGCAAGGCATTGTGCACAGCCAAAGAAACAAAGCACACAGAGCAGAGAGACTTTAGATCAGAAATATTCAAAGATTATGTGCAGAGCCCCAGCCATTGGCAATATCCAACTGGAGCAAACACGCACCCTGAAATCACTGAAGACACTTAGGCAGGGGTGCAGAGGAGGAGGGCTGCTGTGGGAGTTTTTCTCCTTCTGTGTCACACTGAAGCTTTTTACTCTGAATCTAGTCTACATTAAGAAACAGAAATTTGCTTAATTTGTGCAAACAAGTTACAGTCTTAGGTCAGTCTATATGCTGAAAGCCTTATACACTTTAAAGTGTAAATGCAAATGATGGCTACTCATGTGCCAGCAGGGCAATCCCAAGGATGTCAGGAGCTGTTCAGAAAAACAGGAAGGAACAATCTGAAATGAGTAAGAAGAGTAGGGGAAACACCTAAACAGACATTACCCTCAATGCTTTCAAAGCAAAATGGCAAGAGTGCTTGAGCTCTTGTGAATTAGCCATGCCAGATTTTTTTGGTGATGAACACCATGGATATCTTCCTGAGGATTACCATGAACCTGATGAGATCACTCATTATGACTACTGCAAGTTGCATTTCTCCAAGAACTGAAATTCCTAGGCCTCCTGGGATCACAACTGTTTTTGTCCTGTGAATTTTAATTAGCTCAAATCATCTGCATTTAGAAAGTTTGATTGGTCATATATGCCAAAATTGTTCCCTTCAGGAATCCAGCAACTTGTACTTCTGATGGGGAAAAATTGACAAATTTGCAGGTGTGGTTCCAGCACTTCCTTGCTTTACTTTGGGTCAAACAAAATTGGTTCTTCTTTTTCCCCCAACAGAAAAATCACAGGGTATGATATTAAAAAAAAAATTATTTTGATTAAACTGACCTTCCATAATGCCTTATGTAAGACAAGAATTTGATTCAGTATTAGATTTGTCAAAAAATTATGAATGCAGACATGCCACATGGAAAACAAAAAGCAAATAACTTCCTTATCTTTATCATTCCTAGGCAGTGTCCAAAAGCAAAGAGGCACAAGGAGCTTTTTATTTCAAGGAAAAACGGACATTTGAATTTCATATCTTTTTCATGGAGGGATTGACAACAAAGTTTTTAAATACACCATATTAAAAAAAAAAAAAAAAAAAAAAAAAAAAGGGAAAAACTCCTCCATGCAGGAAAGGTATTTAGATTGGGGAAAAAAAAAAAAAAAGTCAGACATCCACAAATTAGGAAATGGCAGATTTGCACTTGCTCATGCAGTCATAATTCTATGCCCTTGCGGAATCATCCTGTATGCTGAAATTAAGCAGAACACTGTTCAAGGGAAAAAAATCCAGCATGTAATCCTGTAACTGAAGACCCTCATTACTCCTAAGCAGACTCTCATTTTCTAGAGAGAAGTCTAGATGGGCCAAAAGAGAGAAAAATTATCTTGTGCACAGTTAAAACCATCTCTTCACAAATGCAACATGAACATTACTTGAATCCTGAACATACCAGTACTGCAAATCTGAAATACAGAACAAATAACACTAGCTGGAACCAAGCCTTTAGAGGTGGATTAACCCAAAACAAACTCTGAGGAGAGCCCAGTCAAGCCCACCTTCTTCCAAGGAACTTGTAGGTGTGCAGCACATGGCACTTCCAGACCAAAAGAAACAGGAGGAGCTGCTCTGCTTGGGAAGGTTATAAAGACTCCACTCATGCTTCTTTCTTGTGCTCTCTCTTCACATGGGAGCTGGGGAGGAGGACAGGGGTTGCGTAGCAGGTCTCCAGACAGGTTCTGACCTGCAACTGCTCCAGCATAAATAGGCTTTCAGTACAAGAGCTGCCCACAGCTCCTCTGAGCTCGCATTAGCTCATGCTACATGGTACATACTGGCACTGCTGTAATTCATGGTTCTCACACACTCCCAACATTTTCCAGAAAAGGCACACGTCTGGCAGGTACTGCAGCAACCTACAATGTTGCTTATTCAGAAGATGCCATGGGGCAAAGAAAAGGTACTCTGCACTGAGGACCTTCTGCTTGAGGAAGTTTAATACTAGGGCAAATACTCAGAGCAATATGGATCTCAAAGATGTGCAAAACCTGTCCAGCCACAAATGCTATGCAAATAGCAAGTTTGCTCTTAGCTCGTCAATAAACTAAAGGCATTCATTCAGCCATATTATTCATTTGATCTCTTTCTCTGGAGTAATTCCAAGCATGCCATTTCCCTTTCCATTTTACAAACCACTTGTATTTAGCTGTAATGAATTGGTGATCCTCACAGTTATCTATAGTTCCTGCATGTGGCAGAAAAAATCCCCACACCACAGGGTTCTTAAGTCCAGAGAACAAATAAAACAGAACAACCACACAGCTAAAAGGTCCTTTTACAGATTTGTCTGGTCTTCCCAGTTTGGTCCTCTTCAGGAAGGAGAGCCCTAAGCAGGACTGGGCACAGGGCTCACAGCACTTCCCTGCACACCTCAGTATGCCCTGCTCTGCTCACAGCTGCTGCTGGGGGAGCCTGGCTGGAACGTGAGGTCAAACCTGCAGACACAGAAGACACAGAGCAGCACTGGCCAGGCAGGGCTCTCAGGGAGAGGCCTCCTCCTCACACCTTACAGCACAGCACAGGGATCCAAGAGGCACCGCAGGCTCGGCTAGATGGCTCTACCCTCATCCCCACCCTGCTGATGCTGCTCCTGGGCTCCCTTGTGGAAGCTCAGGATTAGCTTGCATTTGAAATGTGCCACCCACACACAGATAGGAAGGAGTCTGGCATCAACAACTCCACTGGACTGAAAACGCTTGACTTTTTCTGATCTGGGAAACTAAATCACTCTGGACTTAGCCAGCATCTAGCCAGATGATTGTTTGGACAAATTTCATAACACAGGCACTCCCTCCCCAAACCATGATTTTTTGTGTCACAAATTCTGTTTCTCAAAACAAACAAACAAGCACATGCACACCCCCCCCCCCTTTTGAAACCCAAAGTTGTTGGGTCTGTATTTCCTTGGCTAAAAACAGCTGCATTTCTGACTTTAAACGTTTGGGAATTACACTAACCTAATCTAGTTGTATTAAACCAAATTATTACTACTGGAAGTAAATAAAGTACTAATTTAGTTTCAAAGCAGTTTGGTATGCTTTTACCTGTCAAGAGTCAACTCTTGGATGTTGTTTTCAGCTTTCTTTTTCTCACTCCCTTGAACTGCAGTGAAAAGCCAAACCAGAAACCTGCAGCCACATCTTTTTGTTTCCAAGCCAAGAAAGATCAGTACAGCTGCCCTTTAGAATAATGTAGAAAAAAATATGTACCCTTTTGAACATGTCAGAAGTAATGTTTTTAGGTCTATTTAGATACCTGGCAGGTCATCTCTGACTAGATTTGAGTTTATCACACACGAACCTAATTTTTGCAGCCTATTAATGGCTTTTGAGGTAAGAACAGCAGTCTATTTGAATCCAACAGCAAATTTTATTTGGACAGAACTGGAAATTCACTCAGGCTTTTAACAACAGCAGCAGAATAACACAAATCCTTGAGACACCCTGAGTATGGGGTATGTGTCAATTCAGGGGGTGACACTGGCAATCCGTCTTAGTCATGTGAAAGTACCAGTGTCTGTCATTACCAGTCAGAAAAACAAGCAATACTTTTAACATTTTAATATTCATCCACCGTATGTGCTGTCCATCTTACTTGGAGCTTAACTCCTACTTGAGTTTCTGATCATACTCTTAGATTAATATAACTTTGAGATTGTCTTTCAGCCATTAGCTTTTAACCTTAAGACTCTTCCTCAAACTATCAATTTTAATTTTCTTCAGATTCTGGGCCTAATGGATTTTGTAATTAAAGGCCCTTAGAAATTTTAGAAGTATCCTCTAGTTTTCTAGAGAACATATGTTAACAAAAATACAACAGATTCACAACACTACAATAAGAATGGGAGAAAGTACACAGAAAATCTCATAAGAAATTGTTGGCATCTCTTGAATGCATTTCAATGCATCTTGCCAATTACAACTCTGTGAGGCCCATAAATATTACGTTTCTAGCTAGGAAGGAGAGTGAGAAGTAAGTTCTTTAGATAAATTCTGTTTTTCACATAATCAGCAATACAGAATCAAAAGAAACCTAACTAGACTGGTACTAAATCCAGTTATTAGACAAATCAAAACAAGCATCTGGAACCAAAGATTTCATTCTAAGAACCAACTAAATATATATTTGTGAGAAATATCTCTTTTGTCATTTCTGGAAAGCATTATGGGCAACCTTCCAGAAAAAATGCAATAAATTTATATGAATTTATAGCTTTACTGTGTCTCTTAAAAGCAAGTATATAACAATTAGCCCATTGATGTGAAATTTATTACTCTTCTCTCGGACAGTGTTATGCTTTGTAATTCAGCTTTTGGAAACAAACAGTCCAGCAATTTCGAATGCAAATTCACTAATAGATGCATCATTTAATCCTGGTGATGTAAGGAGGATAAACTCCACACTGCAAAAACATACTAAAATTCTTGAATTCACATCTGTCTTGTACTTCAGAGGCAAGTTATCTCACAGAGGTATGGAGACACAACAGCTGTACTGCTTTTTAAAGCTGGCCGAATCTTTCCTGATCACCGGGAACCTAAAAGGCAAGATTTAAAACTACCTTATTACAGCATGCAGAGTACTGACAGCCATTATTTAATATATGTCTGGTGCACTTAACCAGGTCACCCTGGTTCCCTCAGCAGGTGATGGAATGCACTTACTGCAAATTACAGGCCGGGTTTCTGCCACAAAGTACTGACGGTGAGAGAGTGAAGAAGCGGGCCCAGCCCAGCCAGCCCTGTGAAGCACTGGGAGCCACAGCAGCCCAGTGCAGCCCTGCCAGCAGGGGCAGGTCCCCCTGCAGCAGAGTGTGCCTCCCCCTCAGCTCCAACCCACTCTGAACACATCTCAGGGGACACACACATGGGCAGGGAGCAGAGTGTGCCTCCCCCTCAGCTCCAACCCGCTCTGAACACATCTCAGGGGACACACACATGGGCAGCAGATGCTTGGAGTATGTCTAATCTGACCACTGCAAACTGAACAGATAAGGCAACCGTTCTTCACACTGGACCTGGAAAGGGTTAGGAAGCAAGAGCTCCTTTGTACTAGAAGTAATTGATTGCTCAGGTATTTTGTATGTAATACAAAAAGGATCATTGAAGTATGCAAGAGAAGTACTTCCTGAAAATGTTAAAAAGTATTTGATCTGCACAGGCATGCAGAATTCCTTCAGACTGAAGCTATTTGCTTATTGATATAAATACATATTAAAATGCATTCAGCTACTGGCAATAAAATAAACCATACATGGAAAGTAAAAATGCCCAATTTATCTTTTCCCCCTCTCAAGAATACCTAACACCACTATCCCTGCCCGGCCCTCATATCTTTTAAACTCTGCAAGAACAGAGAAGACTGATATTTGTGTCACATGAGGAAATGCAGAGTATCACAAGCTACTGAATAAATTTCAAAGAAGATGCAGGAACACCCACCCATGCACTCCCTTTGATTTAGAGGGTAGAACTGTCAGCTTGTGCTCTTCCACTGATAGCACGAGCATCAAGATAAACTTAAAATCAACTTCTCAATTGCTAAACGCTCACAAAGTTCACTCTTCACTAGGAAATTAATCTTATTGTGATTCAAAACTGTGAGCCTAGAACCAGCTTTCCTGTGGCACACTAATTTGGTGCTATGGCTAACAAACTAAGAAATCCACATTGTGAAGCAATGAGGATGGTACTCTGGGATTCAGATATAAAATGCACCTCAGTATTCCCTCAGGCTTCTGCAATGCACTTTGAACCACGGCCCTAAAGACACATAGTAAAACTTCAGCCCCAGAAGAACATGAGCAAGCAGGAGGCACAGAGCAATAAGAACAGTAATGTCTTAGAGGCAGATAAAATATGCACCATGGTTCAAACAGAAGTGTTAATGCTCCCACGATGTTTCAGCTGGTTGGACTTTGGTGCCTGAATCCCACACCAGGTGCCTTCCTAAGACTAGACCACGGCTTCCTGGACCTGTTTTTCCTTTATGAAGAAGGAAAAGAATGAGGAGAGAAAAAAAAAAAGCAAACAAACAATCAAAGAGAACTTTCCTGCCTTAGAAAAGTT